TTTTGACTCATGATTTGTTGAAACAGTTAGAAAACTGCTTGACAAAAAAGATGCTGAGAAACGTACGCCAGACAAATGCATGACGATATGAATGCTGCACAAAGATTCAGACACAAGGAGGCAAAGCTCGAGGGAAAACCGACACAAACAAAAAGCCTCTTGTGGTTCTGTGTGCTGCGTTGCCTCATCACATACAACATGATCTCTGCTTTAAGAACTCTCGTGACAGTACAACCTTGCTGACTAGAAGAAATGTAGCTATATATACAACAAAAAGCAGAGAAGTTTAAACAGAATGGCTAACGAGGAAGCAGCGAGACTTGCTACACTTTTAATTTGGGAGCAGTCAGCACAGCAGCAATGAGACTTTAATTCATACACATAAATTATTCTGTGTGTGTGTTTGAGTCTGATTTTCTGTTTGACGTCTGAAATGAGTCATTAGAAGGATTTGTGTTGATGCAGAGCATTTTATTTATTGATATAGACCGCTTTACATCTTCTGATCCGCTCCCAATTAATTATGTCAAAATCCACATGAAAGCACACAGAGACGCTGCGCTTGCTGTCATTTCCTCACAAGTTCAACCATTACAACATGATTACAGCTTAAAATAAGGAAAACAAGGACAAAAAGTATCAAATGCCAACATCGGAAAACCCAAAACGAAAACCTTAAATCAGTAAAACAGTATCTACAAGTTAAATTGATTACAGCTAAACGCAGCACAAAATGCCAATAAACAAATATCCTGAAGTAGATTTAAAGAAAAGGGATCTAAAAATGTTTCTACAACACAACTTTATAAAGCAGTGGAAATTAAAACATATGACCAAGTGACACATGGAAAGGCAAAGCTTTTTGATTTTTGCGTGGCTGAAACAAGACAAAGTATAAACAAGTTATTTTACAGCTCAAAAGATTGGGAGGAAACTAAACAAGAAGACAAACGAGGGAGTGCTGCCTCGGACATCTCAGTCAGATCCTTCTCTGGGTCTCTGAGAACTTTGGAACTGAGTGAACATCAGCAAAATCCTGCCGGGGCAGCTGGACTTCACTTAAACATTGATCAGAGTTACTGTGACCAACATGAGCTGTGGAACCAGGAAGACTAGCTGTAATTAAACTAAACCAAGTATCTGCTAAACTGCGCTGCCAAGGACCTCCTGCTGCTTAGTTCAGTCGTGTATCTTGTAAAAGACCTGAACCTCTCCAAGTGGCTTCAAGAATCTGTTGGACTCCTGGCAACAACCAACGCAGACGTGTTCCTGTCTTTAGTTTTCTACATTCACCTTATAATCCAACTGTTTTTGTTACTTTGTTTTTTTTGCATCTTATTTGTATTAAAAATATATAATAATAAATCCGTATGCCTTTTTATAACTGTCGTCATCACTCTTTGTTAAATCAGGTCTCTTGTAAATGAGTCCTTGAGGCTCAATGGGACTAACCTGAAGAAATAAAGATTTAATGAATGCATGACTAAATGTAAAGAAGACCAAATGTATGTTTTTTTCTAAAACCATGGTACAATCTCATAGTACTGGTATTTACATTAAAGATGAAAAAATGGACATATTCACTGAATTTAAATATCTTGGGGTGACCCTTGATCCAAATAAAAATGTTAAGAAACACATTAAGAATATGACTAAAGTCATTAAATTCAATCTTAACATTGTAAACATATTAGACATCGTCTCTCACTTGATGCAGCCAAGACATTCATGCATGCCATGATTTTATCCCATAGGTCGTACTGGATCACCTGTTGGGGTCAGGCTGGTGATGGTGTTTGAAGACCTCTTCAGTCTTTATATAAACACACTAAAAGCTTTGGTTAAAAAGACAGTGCACCATCACCTCTGTGGGATTTTAGAGAAATACAAGCTTTGAAAAGTTTAGATTATTTTGTAACTTGTGTAACTTCATCAGACCAGGACTCTGCGGTCTACACTCATCTCCAGGTCAGAGGTCACTCTTTCAGGGATGAAGATGTTCACGTCCTGGGTTTGAGAGAGGAGTAAAGGAGGCCATCTTTGTGAAAAGAAACCGTCCATCATTAAACAGGGGCGGAGCCTCCGGGTTCAACTGTCCCCCTCTTACAATGCTGTGATTGCTAGTATCATTAGTATCACTGTAAGACTGTGTGTGTTCCAATCATTGAGTCTGTTCGTGTGTTTGTGTATTGTGATTTATAAGCATGTTATAGTGTTATATTTTCTATTTATATTATTATTGCATTGTACATACATTGTTTCTTTTTTTAACTTGTCAAGGGACTGCAGATGTGAATTATCTTTAGCTATAATCTGGCACAGCACATCAAATGGTGACATGTTTGAGTTGTACATTGTCCCTTTTTTTTAAATAAAGTTCATTCATCATCAAAATTCATACAAACCGTAGTTTATGGTTGTGCACTCACGCATTTCTGTCACGGAGCAAAAAGAGGGAATTAGAAATACTGTCCGTCCATGTGGTGAGCACAAGTTGAAAAAGAAGTGAGGTACCAACTTCCATCAAGCTGTGCAGAAGTTTCATTTCAAAAATGGGATTGCTACATCAAAATCCAAGATGGCCAGGAGTGCAAAATGGCAGCGGATCATTGAGCAGCATCCTGCTAAGCTCCGTCAGCCCCGCCTGAAAAACTGCCTTTCATAATTATATTCTCGCCGCCTCCACGTTGGATTCTTTCTCTGAGATCGGTTTTGTCACGATGGACTCGACAGACCTGTGACATGGCCTCTAAAAAAAAAAACTAAGATGGTGGTGTGCCTGCCCATGTGGCCTGGAGCTACTGTTTTAGAATAGAGATGAAGGTGATTGACAGATGATTTTAATTTTATTAGGAGTGAATTGCAGGCAGTGAGAGCGGAGCTTGAATGTGTCACCGCGGCCTCAGAGCAGAGTTAGACTGAGTAAAGTTAAGTGTTTCAGAGACTGAGAACGGGCTGTCTTTATGCTCAGATGAGGTAGGCTCTGTGTGGGGACCGTGGAGTTGAAGGATGAAGTGGATGGGCTGAGTTCGTGGAAGGGAATGTGAAACGTAACAATATGAGAATTACTGGAGTCTTCAAGCTGCCAGGTCCGTGCACCTCTACAGTGATAGCCAAAATGCTAATGGAGGTGCTGAAGCTGGACAAGTCGCCACTGGCTGACCACGTGCACCCAACGTCGGGCAGGAGAGGCTCGGATGATAAACCGAGAGTCATCGTGGCCAGGCTGCATTATTACCAAGACTGTGTGGAGATATTACAACGAGCACGCAGCAGAGGCCCCATCAGCTTCAAATTTTATTTCATTTTTTTTATTTAACCTTTATTTAACCAGGCAAATCCCACTGTGATCACAGATCTCTTTTGCAAGGGAGGCCTGGGCCTGAAGGCAGACTAACATGTTTTTAGTCTGTGGGAGGAAACCGGAGTATCCAGAGAAAACCCATGCAAGCACAAGAAGAACATGCAAACTCCACACAAAAAGACCCCATGTCCAACCGGGATTTAAACCAGGACCTTCTTGCTGTGAAGCAACAGTGCTAACCACTGAACCATCGTGCCACCCAAAGAATCATCCATATCCATTGCAGCTGAGTACACACCAAGAGTGGCAAAGGCACAAGCGGCTGGTATGGTCTTTTTCCTGCACGGCATCGCATCACACATGGAGGGACGGACAAGGTGTTTGTCGAGTCCGTGAAAGTGATGGACTAGGTCAAGAGGAACATCCTTCCAGCAACAGCAGTGAGGAGCAGAAGAAACCGTAGGATCGGCCTCCCTTAACCAGCATTTTTCTTTAGCTTGTGACTAAATATGGTGGTATGTACATTATATTTGTGATGGAGGGCAATTGTGTTAACGCGCTGTATTGTTACGGTAAGTTCTGCTGTATAGTACGCACACTAATATGGGAGCGTTTTTCTTTATTTACTTGGTTTTAAATGTTTTTTTGTGGGGGTTTTTTTTGGGGGGGGGTACACATTTGATATTCAAAGTAATATTTGTATATTTTGTTGCTTCTTTTTACGTTTTTCTGAATTACTATTACTCATCGTATGTGAGCAGACGGGAGCCCAGGTCAGAATGTGTTCTCTAGGTAAACACAAATGTGTAGATTTTCAGTTGACGGACTTTTTTGTTCTCTCCGTGTTCAGGCAGGACAGAGGGGTGGGATTATACCAGATCAGTCTTTTGGAGGGTTTTGTTTCATCTCTCAGGTATTGGCTTGTGATATTTTGTGTGTAAATTATTTCCTGCAGTTCAACCATGAAAGCTGGGCTGCAGCTGCTCAGGGTGGACGCTCGAGTATGAAGCCTGAACACTCTGCAGACAGTGCACGTCGAGTCCACATGGAAAAAGGTGCGCCCGTGTATACTGGGGCCTTTAGGTTTACCTGCAATCCCTGTTCCATTGCAGTCCAGAAAAACACTCAGTGACGGGCGACACCGCCTGATAAATTACAAGTTGCTTCATTCAAACTTTTAATTCAGGGGCGTGCATTCTTTAATTTATAGGTTTATTTTTCTCTTTGAAATTACCCATTTGATTTTAGACGAACTGGACTGAATGCATGTTTAATTAATGAATATTAATGATTATTAATGATCATTTATAGAAGCAGGCAGATCTGTTTCATGAAGGAACCTAGCGTGCATGTTTTTAGACTGGGGGAGGAAACCAGCGTGCAGGTCCAAACCAGGGACTGAACCAAGCGTCTTCTTACTGTGAGGCAGCGATGCTAACCACTGATCCATCGTGCTGCTCAGATTACAACTGCCCAGACTGAATACAGTTTGAGGTTTTCTTGGTTCATTGTTTCAACAGTTTTGGTGTTAGGTGTAGATGTGAGGCTCCAGCAGTGCTGAGCAGTAAAGAGCTTCATATTCTACAGGAAGGTTCTGAACAAGTCACACAGAATGAGAGGAAAACATGGAAACAATAACAAAGATGCATATTTTATTGAAATACATTGTAAAGTCAGCAAATTGAAAGACACTTACTTGACAGCTGCTCAAAGTCTGGGCTCTGTGGACTCGTGTTTCCAGTCAAGTCTTGTAGAAAATGATTATATCTGAGAAGAAGCAGAAACGTTTTGATCAGTGGTCACTGGGGGACGACAGAGGGACTAAACAGAAAGTAGATATCCATGTTGTCTTTGCACAAAGCTGTCTCCAAAAACATTTGACATCTGACAACAAAACAGCTGTTTTTACCTTTGTTGTTGTGTGTGTCTGTTAGCAAAATGTCTCATGAACCAATGAATGGATTTTAATAACGGGTGCAGAAAGTCATAATTGGATGAATACTTGAGAGAAACGTTGCAGTGAAGTAACTGAGAACTGGTCCATGCTCTGATCTCTGATTGCACATCTGTCTCCAGGACCACTGTCCTGCATGTCCTGTCTCTAGGACCACTGTCCTCCATGTTCTGTCTTCAGGACCACTGTCCTGCATGTTCTGTCTTCAGGACCACTGTCCTCCATGTCCTGTCATGTTCAGTCTCCAGGACCACTGTCCTCTATGTTCTGTCGTGTTCCGTCTCCAGGACCACTGTCCTGCATGT